CTCTTCATGTTGAGGTACATATGGGGAAAGAAAATATTAGCTTCTTTTCTTGCTTTCCGTTTCACCACGTGCTCAGTGCTTTGCCGTTGCTTGGGCTGCGGTGCCCACTCCAGTCTCAGTTGCTCCATTTCCGTCCTGCATCTCTGCTGCGTGTGTGTTTGTGTGCCGCCACACGCTTCCCTCCCCTCCCTCTCTGCGTTGCGTGTCCGCAGGCACACACACACACACACACAACCGCACGGTGAGTCTAAACTGCAGGGCACGTGGACAATTCTTTCGTAGCCGCCGCTGGCGGTGCCGTGTGTGGCTGTGTGGTCTCCCGCGGTGTGCGCTCGGTGGGCTGCCGCCTTTTTCCTCATTCCATCTCCGCCGTACTCTTTCCTTCCTCCGCATCTCTTTCTGCCTCATTCTCCCTTTCCGCTCCCCCGCAGCCCACTGCGACTCTACTGCCACATTTTTGCTGCGACAGATGACGCTGGCGGTGCGGCGCCGTGCGGTGTGCGCCCTGGCGCTCCTCGCGCTGCTCTGCGGCCCCGTCTGCGGGGCGACGAAGGAGGAGGCCGCGACTAATGTGAAAGTGTCGGTGGAGGTGTCGTGCCCGAACGCTGAGAAAAAGTTGGGTTGGCGCGTTGCCGGCGACACAAGTTGGACGCAGTGCCCGCAAACGGTGGAGGAGTCTCTGCTTCCGACGGCAATAACTGCCGCTGCGAGCGGCGATGACGGGGGCCCCACCTGCATTTGGGCCCACTCGCTGTACCTCGCCAGCCGCCCTAATTCGAAGTGCACTCCGCCTTCACCAGCAAAGAGCAGCAATGTTGTTGCGCTCACAATGAAGTGTGTGCCGGTGCCAAACAGTGCACTGCACAATCTGTCGAAGAGCAAAACTATCACCGCCACTGCAGCAGAGACTGCGCTCAGCGCGCCAGGCGATTGTGTGTTACTAACCACCACTCCCAGCGGAGCTGAAGTAACGCCTGAACGCCCCGCCCCAGGTGTACCATCGCCGCCACAACAACAACCGGCTGATGCAGCAGCAGCGTCACCTGCAGCGCAAACCTCGCAAGGGGACCCTACGAGGAATGAAGGCACCACTCCTCCTGCAGAAGGGCCAGGAAGTGCGGCGGAACGCGGAAGTCGTGGACCATCGGCAGGAGACCCTCGGGAAACTACAACGCCATCGGTTGACACTGCGGCTTCTCCAAGTGCCGCAGCAGGCAGGACGGCGGATGGAACCACCACCACGACGACCACCACCCGCAGCCAGAGTGCCGGGAGCCACGCGAAAAGCAGCGCAGACGGCAGTGCCACCTCCACTCCGTTTGTGCGTGCACCTCTGCTGCTGCTGCTCACGGCTGCCCTTGCCTGTGCTGCTGCGTAGGTGGTGAGGGGCAAAAGATACACACACCCACACACCCTGACAGGGACGACACTTGCGCTTTGTGCTCTTTTTGCATGTTCTCCCTGTGGGACAATCCTTCTCTCTCTCCTGTGCTCTAAGGGATGTTTCCTTTTTTTTTATTGCTTCGCCACTCCATGCCGGTTCCCATGGGCGGCGCACCTTTTGTCCCCTCCCGTTTGCTGCTGCCGCCCACACACGCACACACACGCGGTGCCGGCCTCATGGCTGTGCAGTCACACGAACTGCCGAAATGAGGCACGGGGCCGCGGCCACCGTGAGGTGCAAACGTGATGAGTGTGTGTGTGTGTGTCTGTGCTTGTGTTTGTGTGTGCGACCGGGCAGTGGTTTCTTTTTTTATTCGTGCAGGTATTAAAATATACACACACGCTCTCACGGTCCTCTTGTGCTGCTGGGCACGTGAAGTAACAAAAACACCTGCCGAAGTCATTACCTTTTTTTTTTTTGGGGGGGGGGTCCTGCGGGGGTTTGTCGTGCCTCTTCTCTGCCGTCTTCTTTTCTTTTCTTCCGCGGCCTGGGCGATGATCACCGCTGCCGTGTGGGGTGGCGCCTGCCTTAAATCCCTCTTACGCCGGTGTGCCGACACACCTCC